CACTTTCACCCAGTTCTCCTCTGAATCATTCAGATGTTCATTGGCAAACTTCAGACAGGCCTGTATATGTGCTTTCTTGAGCAGGGGGACCTTGCGGGCGCTGCAGGATTTCAGTCCTTCACGGCGTAGTGTGTTACCAATTATTTTCTTGCTGACTATGGTCCCAGCTGCCTTGAGATCATTGACAAGATCCTCCCGTGTAGTTCTGGGCTGATTACTCACCGTTCTCATGATCATTGCAACTCCACGAGGTGAGTTCTTGCATGGAGCCCCAGGCCGAGGGAGATTGACAGTTATTTTGTGTTTCTTCCATTTGCGAATAATCGCACCAACTGTTGTCACCTTCTCACCAAACTGCTTGGCGATGGTCTTGTAGCCCATTCCAACCTTGTGTAGGTCTACAATCTTGTCCCTGACATCCTTGGAGAGCTCTTTGGTCTTGGCCATGGTGGAGAGTTCGGAATCTGATTGATTGCTTCTGTGGACAGGTGTCTTTTATACAGGTAACAAACTGAGATTAGGAGCACTCCATTTAAGAGTGTGCTCCTAATCTCAGCTCGTTACCTGTATAAAAGACACCTGGGAGCCAGAAACCTTTCTGATTGAGAGGGAGTCAAATACTTATTTCCCTCATTAAAATGCAAATCAATTTATAACATTTCTGACATGCGTTTTTCTGGATTTTTTTGTTGTTATTCTGTCTCTCACTGTTCAAATAAACCTACCATTAAAATTATAGACTGATCATTTCTTTGTCAGTGGGAAACGTACAAAATCAGCAGGGGATCAAATACTTTTTTCCCTCACTGTACATATACACACAAACCACTGACAGACTTCTATGAACTGATTTGACTTCAACTAAGCATATATCTATGATGATTTTGTAACCATTTATAACAATAGGGGAGTACATAAGGTACTCCATCTCTGCAGGTTATCTGTCTATCAAGTCAAGATCACTGATACAGGTCCCCCTCCACCCTCTGAGGATATGGATAACTTGAGTCTCCAGAGAAACCTGGATTCAAACAAATACTTAGATTTGCGGGGGAATACATGCCAATACAGCTCTGTGTAGATTCAGAGAGCATATCTGAGTTGAGTATTGCAGTTCTATCAAGTATTTATACCATTGGCAGATTTTTATATGCACAAAAATAAGGTAATTTTGGTTTTGGGCAGTCATTTGATACATATATAGAAAATTACAATCTTAGGTGAGTACATGGGGAGCTACATTATCTCTCTGCAGATGATCTGTCTATCTGGCCAAAATCACTGATACAGGTCCCCCTCCATCCTCTGGTGGTATGGATAACCTATGTCTCCAGAGAAACCTACATTCAAATAAAGGTATAATTAGGTGTTTTTGGCTGGGGTGAAAAATACTTTTTTTTCTTCTTTTTTTTATTATACAGGAACACAAAACAATGATTTTGAATTGTAAGAACAAGTTGATTGACAAAGTCATGAAACATTTGAAGAATAGGAAATCAGCCACCTTTGGGCTATGATAAAAAAATATGCCTCTGGGGTCAAAATGGCCCCAGTCGGTAGTATGAGAGTTAAGAATGTGGCTGCGTCACAGTCGGTCAGACCATTTTGAATTCTCGCAAGCGTTCCGATCTACACAAGTTCAGCTGTACACAAAGGAAAACTGCCACCATGACTCAGCGTATTGCATTATTTTACAGCAACCATATCAAACACTACCCGTTTCCACATGATGAAGGCTATAAAGAACCTGCACTAAGACGATTAGCCTAGCAGGCCAGGATATTCAGAACTGCCTCTGGAGAAAAGCGTACAGGCAGTCCACCACATTGGACTACTGGGAAACACCGGTACTAATAGTGTAGAATAAGAAACAGGTGTGCTTAATGCTCCCAACCTTGATTCAACACTTCAGAATGTAAGAAATCTTGGTCTATTGTAGTATATTGATTGGACTAAAGAGAAGAAACCTGCACTCACTGAATAGGTCTAGCTAATCATCACTTATCTTGACTGTAGTTTCTAGCAGCAGAGGTTACAAAGGTCACCTTGTCAACAAGAATAATCTGTGTTTGAACAGCACATCACAAATGGATAATCATCCTACAGGCGCTCCGCCCAACAAGACAATTGAGAGTAAATGGTGTTATGCAATGTTCTTGTTTAAACATCTAATTGCTCCCAATTGTCTTATGGTGAAGCACAACTCCTGTGGGCTAATTATCCTATAGTGACATACATAAACAATGGAGTGGGTCTCAGTGCTGTTTTGAAATCAAAGCACATTGCATTGCCATTGTTAATTACAAAGTTTGTTATGTAGCAGGTAACCTAGAGGTTGGAGCGACAGGCAGGGACAGCAGGTAACCTAGAAGTTAGAGCCACAGGTGGGGCCAGCAGGTAGCCTAGAGGTTAGAGCTACAGGTAGGGACAGCAGGTAGCCTAGAGGTTAGAGCTACAGGTAGGGACAGCATGTAGCCTAGAGGTTAGAGCTACAGGTAGGGACAGCAGGTAGCCTAGAGGTTAGAGCTACAGGTAGGGACAGCAGGTAGCCTAGAGGTTAGAGCTACAGGTAGGGACAGCAGGTAGCCTAGAAGTTCGAGCTACAGGTGGGGCCAGCAGGTAGCCTATAGGTTAGAGCTACAGGTAGGGCCAGCAGGTAGCCTAGAGGTTAGAGCTACAGGTGGGGCCAGCAGGTAGCCTAGAGGTTAGAGCTACAGGTGGGGCCAGCAGGTAGCCTAGGGGTTAGAGCTACAGGTGGGGCCTGCAGGTAGCCTAGGGGTTAGAGCTACAGGTAGGGCCTGCAGGTAGCCTAGAGGTTAGAGCTACAGGTAGGGCCAGCAGGTAGCCTAGAGCTACAGTTAGGGCCAACAGGTAGCCTAGAGGTTAGAGCTACAGGTGGGGCCAGCAGGTAGCCTAGAGGTTGGAGCTACAGGTAGGGCCAGCAGGTAGCCTAGAGGTTAGAGCTACAGGTAGGGCCTGCAGGTAGCCTAGAGGTTAGAGCTATAGGTAGGGCCAGCAGGTAGCCTAGAGGTTAGAGCTACAGGTAGGGACAGCAGGTAGCCTAGAGGTTAGAGCTACAGGTAGGGACAGCAGGTAGCCTAGAGGTTAGAGCTACAGGTAGGGCCAGCAGGTAGCCTAGAGGTTAGAGCTACAGGTGGGGCCAGCAGGTAGCCTAGAGGTTGGAGCTACAGGTAGGGCCAGCAGGTAGCCTAGAGGTTAGAGCTACAGCAGGTAGCCTAGAGGTTAGAGCTACAGGTGGGGACAGCAGGTAGCCTAGAGGTTAGAGCTACAGGTGGGGACAGCAGGTAGCCTAGAGGTTAGAGCTACAGGTGGGGCCAGCAGGTAGCCTAGAGGTTAGAGCTACAGGTGGGGCCAGCAGGTAGCCTAGAGGTTAGAGCTACAGGTAGGGCCAGCAGGTAGCCTAGAGGTTAGAGCCACAGGTGGGCCAGCAGGTAGCCTATAGGTTAGAGCTACAGGTGGGGCCAGCAGGTAGCCTAGAGGTTAGAGCCACAGGTGGGGCCAGCAGGTAGCCTAGAGGTTAGAGCTACAGGTGGGGCCAGCAGGTAGCCTAGAGGTTAGAGCTACAGGTAGGGCCAGCAGGTAGCCTAGAGGTTAGAGCTACAGGTAGGGCCAGCAGGTAGCCTAGAGGTTAGAGATACAGGTGGGGCCAGCAGGTAGCCTAGAGCTACAGGTGGGGCCAGCAGGTAGCCTAGAGGTTAGAGCTACAGGTGGGGCCAGCAGGTAGCCTAGAGGTTAGAGCTACAGGTGGGGCCAGCAGGTAGCCTAGAGGTTGGAGCTACAGGTAGGGCCAGCAGGTAGCCTAGAGGTTAGAGCTACAGCAGGTAGCCTAGAGGTTAGAGCTACAGGTAGGGCCAGCAGGTAGCCTAGAGGTTAGAGCTACAGGTAGGGCCAGCAGGTAGCCTAGAGGTTAGAGCTACAGGTGGGGCCAGCAGGTAGCCTAGAGGTTAGAGATACAGGTGGGGCCAGCAGGTAGCCTAGAGGTTAGAGCTACAGGTGGGGCCAGCAGGTAGCCTAGAGGTTAGAGCTACAGGTGGGGCCAGCAGGTGAGCTTTCAAAAAGTGTTTACAGCCCTTGACTTATTCCACATTTTGTGTTACAGCCTAAATTCTACATTGATCTCATCCATCTACACACAATACCCCATAATGACAAGTGAAAACATGTTTTCTATACATTTTTGCAAATCGATTAAAAATGAAATACAGAAATCTGATTTACATAAGTATTCACACCACTGAGTCGAAACCTGTTAGAATCACCTTTTGCAGCGATAACAGCTGTGAGTCTTTCTGGGTAAATCTAAGTTCTGTCGGTTGGTTGTTGATCTTGTCATAGACTTTCAAGCCGATTTAAGTCAGAGCTGTAACTACGCCACTCACAAACATCCAATGTCGCCTCGGTAAGCAGCTCCAGTGTAGCTTTGGCCTTGTTTTAGGTTATCGTCCTGCTGAAAGGTGAATTTGTATCCCAGTGTCTGGTGGAAAGCAGACTGAACCAGGTGTTCCTGGTTCTTGAATTTTGCCTGTGCTTGGCTCTATTCCAGTTTGTATTCAAAAACAAAAAATTTTTTGCCAATGACAAGCATACGCATAACATGATGCAGCCACCAACATGCTTGAAAATATTAAGTGTTGGATTTGCCCCAAACATAACACTTTGTATTCAGAACATAAAGTTTTTTTTTTTGCAGTTTTACTTTAGTGCCTTATTGCAAACAGGATGCATGTTTTTGGAATATTTACATTCTGCAGGCTTCCTTCTTTTCAGGCGATCATTTAACTACATTGTTGTTGGTCCATCCTTAGTTCTCCTATTACAGCCATTAAAATGGTTTTAAAAGTCTCCATTGGCCTCATGGTGAAATCCCTGAGCGGTGTCCTTCCCCTCCGGCAACAGATTTAGGAAGGATGCCTGTATCTTTGTAGTGACTGGGTGTATTGATACACCATCCAAAGTGTAATTAATAACTTCACCATTCTCAAAGGGATATTCAATGTGTGCTCGCTCAGTTATTACAAAATAAAAGGCATTTATTTCATAGGACAGTCCTGAAGGATATGTACAGAGTGCATTACAACAGCGCCATAACAAAATCCTAAATTTAAATGAATACCAACAAATTACATTAAAAAGTCAACAGCAAAGTTATTTAAAAAAAAGATATATACGAATAAAAAGGGATTAAACAATTATGAGGGAAGCACCTCTTCTCATAGCTGCAAGGTAAAAAGGTTGTGGTTGATCAAAGTAAAAAATCTTACGCAAGTAGGGCACAAGTACCTCAGATGTTAAGCTAAGAAAATATATAAAGTAACTACAGGCGTCAATGCCAGAATGTTGAGTCCATAACACTTCAAGTGAGAAGCACAGGCATCTCCTGAAGGGATTTCACTAGTACAGTCAAAGGTTCAGTCACTCAATCATCCTCCCCTGAGCGTTCATCTTCCTGTTGTTCTGTGACCTCATCTTCTGTGACATCCAAGACATCCGACCTGGGTGTGAGGTCATCATCAGATTCTTCTAGTTCCTCATCATCGGCACCAAGCGCGATCTCTCGCAGGTCTTCTAGACTTTCCGGACTCTTTCCTGTTAACCTCTGAGAGGAGATAGCAGAATATTAGCTTTGAACATCACAAGCTACCTTAAGTTTAAAAGCATCCACCATAGACCTCAAATACATGGAAAATAAAAGTTTGTGGGCATCAAATTCCCAGCTCTCACCTCTATCATGTCAGCCATGTGCTGTACATGTTGGGCCAGTTCCTGAAGCTCATCATTCTCGGTCTTTAACTGGGCTATCTGCTCATCCTTGGCCTCGATGCTTTTGTGCAACTGCTCAAACAAGGTGATAAAGTCACTCAGAACATGGCAGATAAAAAAAAAAGGTAGTTTCACAGACTTCATAATCCGCTAAAATGTTAAACGTTATCAGCTTAAATCAATGGCTAAAATAATTCCACTCTATGCGCCAAGGCCCCCCAAAAAAAGGACATGGGGCAGAATTCCACGAGATTAATGGTTTCAGAGATATGGATGGTTCACAGACCAACACCCATTGTTCCACCTGGAGTGTTGCCAGAGACTGTGAGATTGACTCATTTTGCACCGTGGGAACAGGACAAGTTGACTAAACATTAGTCAGCAGCCCTTCAGTGATTAACTGACCTTCTCATTCTCCTGGAGTACGTTGTAGAGAGCTTTACGCCTCTCCTCGGCTACCGCTTTCCAGTAGGAGGAGGGAGGGGTTTCTGAAACGGAGGGGGTAGGCCATTTCAATTAAACTACTGAACAAACAGAAGATCGTAGCTCAATAATAATAAAAAAGTCAATTCTATGGGATTATGATAATGAACATGGACTTGGCTCACATTTTGTCTATGTTGATGAAACATTGTTGGGATAAATGGGCCAAGGACCATCTATGAAACCATTTGTCCTTGTAACGCTTTGAATACCAACATACCTTTGACCATTAGCTCGTAGGTCTCCTTGGTAACGCCGTCGGGTCGATTGTCATCCTCTGTTTTTGTTGATGTGACAGCAACTTCAGCTTTCACCCTCTTTGAGCCCTTCACTTGTTCTGCGTTCCACCGCTTCCTTTTGGGAACCACCTTTCCAGTCTGAACACATGAAAACGTATAATTACATGACCCCGCACAGCAGTGGCTGGTGGTAGACATTTTACCGATACACTATAGTTAACCAAATACAGCAACGTCGGTGACAAATTCCCATTGCATACCAGTATTACTCTGCCTAGGTTTTTATTGACTGCAGAAGGCTGGAGGACTTGCAGGGTTTTCCTTGTGGGTCCCATGTCTTGAATGGATCCACCAAAAAAAGCTCTAAAATAGAAACGCATATGAAGTCAACACCTCCACATTCCAAATTAATAATTACATGTGAAAAGTATTGTACGGTACAGTTTGAGCTTTACATTTAAAAGTAATTAATAAAAACTGTACAAGTGAGTGTTCATGTGATTACACGCAAAACAGAATCAGTGAGGCATTAGTTACTCTCCTTCCCCCGCTTCTCCCCCCCCCCCCAATTCCAAGGTGTGTGTGCGGGGACAATAATTAATTTGAAGGATGTGGGTTCACTGTTCAAGGCATGTTACCCACTTGTAAGGTCTCTTCAGTTAAATTTTACATTTTAGTCATTTAGCAGACGCTCTTATCCAGAGCGACTTACAGTTAGTGAGTGCATACATTTTCATACTGGCCCCCCCGTGGGAAACGAACCCACAACCCTGGCGCTGCAAGCGCCATGTTCTACCAACTGAGCTACATTGCCTCGCAAAATGTGTATGCCTCGCACATAATATTTAGTTCATTAACTTGACAGTCTGCTGCATGCTAGCTCTAGTAATGCCAGGTATTATTGGCTGACAAGCAGACAGCGCATACATTTAGCTAGATGTTGAACAGGCATGGGGTGACCAAAATTAAACATTAATCCCAGAATGTAACATGATATACACAGTGTACAAAACACTAGGAACACCTGCTCTTCCCATGACAGACTGACCAGGTGAAAGCTATGACCCCTTATTGATATCGCCTGCTAAATCCACTTCAGTGTGGATAAAGGGAGGAGACAGGTTAAAGGATTTTTAAGCCTTGAGTATGTGTGTATGTGTGCCATTCAGAGGGTGACTGGGCAAGAAGCATTAGAGTCGATTTGGGCCACCATCCCTGTGGAACACTTTTGACAACCTTGTACAGTCCATGTCCCTGTTCTGAGGGCAAAAGGGGTTACAACTCAATTTTAGGTAGGTGTTCCTAATGTTTTGTACACCGTGCATTTCCTCATTCCTGCCAATGGAGGCATTTGTTATGATCAACTTTTAAAGAAATTGTGACAGGCATGTAAAAAACAAACATATTTTGTTTGTAACAGCGACTGCGAACGTTCAGGCAGCTGCACAGACATTATAGAACCAGGTTTCCCAAACTGTCCTGGGGACCACAAGGGGTGCATGTTTTGGTTTTAGCCCTACAGCGGATTTAAATAAACAGATTGATTAGTCGAATCAGCTGTGTAGTGCTAGGGCAAAGTCTGTGAAACACTGTTCCATAGAAACTAGTCTTAAGCACCCAGTTAAATTGACAAACCATTTCTGTATGGACCTCGCTTTGTGCACAGGGGAATTGTCACGCTGAAACAGGAAATGGCCTTCCCCAAACGGTTGCCATAAAGTTGAAAGCACAGAATCGTCTAGAATATCATTGTATGGTGTAGCGTTAAGATTTCCCTTCACTGGAACTAAAGGGGCCTAGTCCCGAACCATGAAAAACAGCCCCAGATGTTTATTCCTCAACCAAATTTTACAGTTGCCACTTTGCAGTCGGGTCAGGTAGCGTTCTCATGGCATCCGTCCAAACCCAGATTTGTCTGTCGGACTGCCAGATGGTGAAGCGTGATTCATCACTCCAGAGAACGCGTTTCCACTGCTCCAGAGGCGGCGGCAAGCTTTACACCTCTCCAGCCGATGCTTGGCATTGCACAAGGTGTTTGTAGGCCTTTGTGCAGTTGCTCGGCCATGGAAACCCATTTCATGAAGCTACCCGACGAACAGTTCTTGCGCCAATGTTGCTTCCAGAGGCAGTTTGGAACTTTGTAATGAGTGTTGCAGAGGACAGAGGATTTTTACCCGCTTCAGCACTCCGCGGTCCTGTTCTGAGAGATTGTGTGGCCTACCACTTCACGGCTGAGCCGTTGTTGCTCCTAGACGTTTCCACTTCACAATAACAGCACTTAGTTGACCAGGGCAGCTCTAGCAGGGCAGACATTTGACTGGACTATGGAGAGTGCATGGCTGTGTGCTCCATTTTATACACCGGTCAGCAACGATTTGGCTTAAATAGCCAAATCCACTAATTTGAAAGGGTGTACACATACTTGTATGTATATATAGTGTATCACCCAAAATGTACATGTTAAATTATTTTGCCATGTTAAAATTTTACGCTGGGCTAATTTCCCCTGAGTGGACATTTTGTTACTACCTAACACAAGCTTGCATTTTCAACATCAGACTGGTGATGTTAATATAAAGGTTGTCAAGATGACACTAAAATCATTGCTTTAAAACCGGTTACTGCATCTTTGGTTTAGTACCGTTGATTTGATCATACTCGCCTGTCATTCGCAGGACTTAGACCTTGATCAGACTGACAGTCATTGCATCAATCAATACTGTGTAATACATTCTGCAGTCAATCATTACCTAATCCTACATTTTTTGTTGTGTGCAATAAGTTCAACATGAACCTTTTAAAATATTTTTCAAGTCTAAGCATAAATTGGTTTTCCAACGTATGCGCCACAGAACACACTGCAACACAATGGTGCAAGGCAAACCGCGATCCATTGGAAATGAATGAATGAATACTTCTGATGTTCCAAAACGCAATAACTTTCGGTCTGATCGAGGCGTTAACAATTCAAACCGCAAGGGAAAAATCGGGGCGCTCTTTATAAAAGCCGTCGGCCACAAACAAATACACATTTGACCGTCAAGAAATCACTCAAATAAGAGCCAACTCCTTTCACCATTAAGGCCTAACTGTGGAGATGATTTTTTATAACTATCCAGTCAAAAGTGTTGCGTTTACATTTCGTATTGGCCATCTATCGTAAACATTGTCCCACAAGGAGATGAGGTGATAAATGTATACTACAGGTTATTTTATCGAGAAGGTATATGTAGTATACCCAAGCACGTTGTGGTTTGTCTTTTTGATGAGCGCAAATGGCACATGTAGCAGCAGTGAATTGGACTAGTGCCATACAATGTCAAAGTGACTAATCTGCTGCGCGCTATTGATCACAGTGCATTAGACCGGGATTGACTGGCCTAACATTACATTATTTGCTTTACCTTGACGTACTCAGGATTTATTCCCAGGTTTAATTTTCCTAATGGACATACTTAAAACCCTGGTGAGAACGGTAAATTGTAAATCCTAAAAGGCTATGTACTATGCTCGAAACATTGACTTGAGAACGATAAAGTAACATCGTTACAATGTAGGCGAGAATGGCTGTTGATACTGGAAGAGAGTTCTATAATTGTTAGTTAGTATTGTAACAATAAAAAGAAACCGCCAAAAATGTACTGAGGTGGCTGGCAAGGTATTGCCACAAACAAATTGGGAAAGTTAACAGAATCTTTGGTGTGGCCAGGTTTCAGGTAAGGGCAATTGGCTAAATAGTTAACATTATCAATGTCTTGCTCAAAAGAACGTGGACCAAATTAGTTGTAAGGTAGAAAACATAAAAATAATTTCAGTAGGCCAAACCCAGGACAGTTAGCAGTACAGCCAGGCTTACATTCAAATTGAAAAATATAAACAACGCGCTATCGTTTGTGTGAAACACGCATTGACTTGAGTATATTTGACCTTTGAGTGAAATTATATGGTTGTATAAAATGTTTAATAATGTAACTTACTGTTTTGGCAGCTTCCGTGAGTGTTATAACTAAGATTATTTGTGCTTCTTTAATTCTCGGGAGTCACGTTCCTTTCTCCCCAACTCGCGCCAGGAGCTTAAATATCCTGTTAAATCACGTGACGTGATGCTTCTTCCGGATTTTGTAAATCCTTCAAAATAAGAGTTTTGGCATGACCTCTGTAGTCCAGCGCATAAGAACCAAATATACCCGAGATGTTCAACTTTATGATACAAGTACAAAACTTCGTACACTAATATTAGATACATAAAGGAACATTTTAAAGATGAAATGCAGTCTAGGAAGCATGTCAGTCAACCACGGTGGCCATTTTAATAAACTGGCTGCCATTTGGAGTTCCTGTTAAAAGAAAATAGGATAAAATAATTCCAAACAATATCAAAATGACTTTGTAATGTTATCTACCCACTAAATAAACCCCACAGATAATATAGACAATAATTCTGATCATAAAATACTCTTAATACCTTCATGGGGGTCATATTGAGGTAATTATGACCATACTCCAGCTACGGGAAATGTGATCGAGCAACAAAATTTAGTCTAATAAGGGGCCATATTGGACTAGATTCACTTGGCCATATCTCCATAAATAATTGGTACATACAGCCCAATGAGGGATTAAAATGTTTGAGGGGAAAATATAAAAACATTTAATCTTAAAATGTTGTCTGGAAAACACAAATGCCCCCATAAATGCCATATATACCAGTGGAAGCTCCTCATCAGAGGAAGGGGAGGACCATCCTCCTCAGTGAATTTCATAAAAATGTGGAAACATTGAAAATGTTATCCTTTTTAGATAAAACTATACTCAATATATTTATGTCACCAAATAATTGATTAAAACACACTGTTTAGCAATGAAGGTCTACAGTGTATGGTGTAGCCGGAGGACAGCTAGTTTCTGTCCTCCTCTGGGTACATTGACTTCAATACAAAACCTAGGAGGCTCATGGTTCTCACCCCCTTCCATAGACTTACACAGTAATTATGACAACTTCCAGAGGACGTCCTTCAGCCTACCAGAGCTCTTGGAGCATGAATTGACATGTTGTCCACCCAATCAAAGGATCAGAGAATGAATCTAGTACTGAAAGCATAAGATACAGCTAGCTAGCACTGTAATGCATAATGTAGTGAGTAGTTGACTCAAAGAGAGAGAAAGACAATGGTTGAACAGTTTTGAACAAATTTATTTATTTTTTAAATGAAGGAGAAGCAAGAGAGAGTGAGAGAGAGAGAAATAGCTAGCTATATTTCATTGTATTTTTTTCTCTCACTTAGCTAGCGAATGCAGCTAGTTAGTTTAGCCTACTCAAACACCCGGCTCAAACAGAGAGGGATGCTATGTTAGCTAGCTGGCTATGGCTATCCAACATGGGAACTCTTACAAGTCAAGGTAAGCTTTTGGTTTTGCTAAACTGCTTGCTGACAGTACACTGTACTGCATGACTGTAGTTGCTTTACTAACGTGTTAGTTCTAGTAGCTATGTTAACTATGACGTTAGCTAGCTAATATGGTTATAACGATGTAGGCTGTGTGTAGCGGTTAGCAGTTATGATGGTTTGACTTGGAAAGGTTTTTTCGCCTGGTCACAGTCAGCTGATGTCCACAAGCGAAGGGAAAAGTTTTTTATTTTTTTTGGCAGCTTATTTTTATTGTTACAATGCTAACTAACAATTATAGAACGCTCTTCCACTATCAACAGACATTCTCGCCTACATTGTAACGATGTTACTTTATCGTTCTCAAGTCACTGTTTCTCACCAGGGTTTTAAGTATGTCCATTAGGAAAATTCAACCTGGGAATAAATCCTGAGGAGGAGAGCCCGTAGATGGGAGAAGGAATTATACAACGAGAAAAATTATCATGCTGTTTGTATGTGGCTGCTATGAAAGTGAACTGTGTTTGCGTGTGATCAGTGGTGTATTCATTCCGCCGATTCTTTTAAAATGTTTCAGAAACAGAACGAAACGGGGATAAACATACCTGAATTTGTCCAATAGAAACTCTAATTTGCAACTGTTGGGCTAATGATTACACGCTAGATCAGCTAAATGCAGGCAAGAGTGTGCAAGGCGGTATTGAATGTGTCACTGTCTCACCTTGATTACTCACATTTTCTCTCGACCTGTGCACCTACGTTGTAAACTTTCATTCATAGGCTAGGTTGTAGCAACCTCATGATGGGTATAGGGAAAATTAGAGTATCATGTAGTAGCCTAAACCTGTTGATGTTACATTGAGCTGGGTGAATGGAATATGAATGACAGTCATCCAATATGCTGTAATAGAAATAAGGCCAAGCTCATAAAAAAAAAAAATTGTCCTCCCTCATCTTAAACGTCACCAACCGCCACTGATATATACATATCCTTCAAACTGAGTAGAAAAGTGGTGAAAACTCATGCCAAATTCAGTTTTTTGTAATGCTTTCCAATAGTTTACATGTAAACACTCTAAAAAGTAAATATGGGTGTTCCCTGAAGTCTACTGTTTGCAGTGATATATACACTAAGTTTATATTGTGTTTTGCGTCAATTTTAAGAAAAAGGTACAGGAAACCTGCCCTGTACGCGTCACTTTAGGTAAAATCCCATAGGAATATATTATGTCCAGGTAACCCATTTTAACAAAATACTTTTATGATGAGACCTTTCAGCCTTTACTCAAAGTAAACAAAGATGTCTAGCTATGATGCCATTGAAATGTAACCTATTATACTCAGTGGTGTAGTGTAATTTTTCTTTAGGTGCCGGAGCCCCCCCCCCCCCCCCCAAAAAAAAGTTATAATTTCTCAATCAACGTTTGCACAGTACCGTTGAATATTATAATTTGATATGCATAAAACACATCATCCAAATGCAATGTCTGCCTACACACATTGACTTGAATAAATGTTTTTATATTTAATACCGTCAAACACCAAATTAGGCCTACCTCATTTCAAAATAGGCCATCATCACTGTCAATCGTGAATGATAATTTTTATCGTTTTACAGGTGAAACGTCTAAACTGAATCTGAATGCCAACCATAACCATTTGATCTCACTCAGTTTCATGAGAATATGCATTTAGATCTTCTTGAGTGATGTGAGTAAATACTCTTTGAGCGGATTTCAGAGCAGATGATATTAACAAGCTACAGACTAGTTTACCAGTATTTTCATTCAGGGCACATTTATCCGACTGCGCGCGCTGTTTAGTTTTGGCCGCATCATGAGAAAAAAACGCAACCATTCAGCACAATCATCCTTAAATCTCATAAGAAATTACGTGATTTTTTTGTTTTACGGTGAAAGTTCGAATCCACCATGGGGCGTACCGATTGGTTTCATACAACCGTTCCTTGTTGGTGTTGGGAAGAACTGCTCTGGCGCCCTGCATGAAACAGATGCCTGCTTCACAAGCACTGCACCGAAAGAGCGGCAGAGACCAGAACTATCTTCAAAACTCAGAGGAGGTGCACCTAACTAAAGATTTCAGACGGCGCTCTAACCAAGCTCTTCCAAATAGAAAGGTATGTTTTTGTTTGTTTGGTGAGGTGTTTGAACTAGGGCTAAGAGCGTTGAAGCGTAACGCTCAACTTCTCTGCACTGTTTTGGTCCAGTGGCTAGCCTACCAGTAAAAGCGAGAAGCGAACCCGTGCACATACTGTGTGTGACACGTGTGCAAGCGAAGTCGTGCATCTCGCTCATTGTAATATCTGTGGTGAGGCTTGTGGGAACGTCATTTCGCCGAGTCTACATTTTAAATGTTTTTGTGTGTGTACTCCTAATGGACTGTAAAAAATTATATTTGTACATTTTATCTCAATAAAAGGAAGGTTCATTCTACTCTGTAGCACCCATATAATATCAGAAACAAGAGTTTACACCCCCCCTGAACCCCCTTTTTGTAGTGACACAATGTACAGGGACAGTTTTTAAAGTTACAATGTGTTATTGTCTTTCACAAAAGTGAAAATAGGGTACTCACATGGGAATTTATATAGAAGGCCTTTATTTAATAGTAAAAAGCAGATCAGCATTCATAACATAACATTTACATCTGCTAAAATGTAAATGTAATAACTTTGGAAGAAGACAGCCTGACAGAGAAGAGAATGAGAGCAAATACTACATTGTTGTATTAATTCTACTGTACATTCTAATGCACCACCAGGTACAATATTTCATCATTATCTATTCATTATTTCATCATTATCTATTCATTATTTCACACACTTGTTTTACCTGTGGGCTGCTACAATAAAATAAACCTACAAAAAGGTACATAACTACAAAGTATTGATCCTTTTGATCATATTTCAGAGTTTAAGTAATAATCAATTCAGTATGTACAGGAAAAGAAAACAAAAAATTAGTGTGCCCCACCCCCACACTGAAACCAGGGCTGCGTTCAGTACGTTTTTACATTCAATTGATAGGAAACGGTGCTGTACTGATCGACCAGTTGAACAACGGAGAGGGGTGTGCATTGGGGAACGTTGTTTGCATGGCTGCTGCCCTTTAAATAAGTCACTCATTGCTTCAAGCCACACCCACCGAACGGGAGCAAATGTACCTCATAATCTGTTCAAGAACGTTTTGGAGAAACATGTCGTTCAGTACAAACCGTTTCGCAACGTAGCAAACGCTCAAGCGAACTGAACGCACCTCATGTTATCCACCCCCCCCCACCATACAACCCCTTCCCTGTGGGCCTGAAAGCAAAAGAAAGTAAAAAAGAGGAAAACCAGGTTATATATTTTTTGTATGTATATATTGGACCTTATAGTTTGTTTGCATGTGTTGGGCTTTAGCTGAGATTATTCTTTACAGAGTCAAGTATATTTTTCCAACCCTCAATTGTTCCTTGACTAGCACCGTTCATTTTCGCTGCTGATAATTCTAATGTTATAACTTCTAATAGTAACTGTATCCATTGGCGAATTGCGAGAGTGAGGTGACTTTCTTCTAAGAGCCAACATATTTTTTTGCGGTAGTGCTGCCTGCCAGCATTAATAGTCTATGATTGAGAGATTCAAGGAGCTATCGTAGTTAAGTAACATAGTAGATGCAAAACATTGAATATTTACATTCATTCATTTTGAAATGAATTTTGTCCTAGAAGCATTTAACTGCAGGGCACTCCCACATCATATGAATGAATTTAAGTCATCTTCTGACAATATGGCACTGTCATAACATTTGTGACGATTCCTCAGGTGACTTTTAAGTAGTGGATTGTTTCTAAAGCATCTGCTGCAGAGTTTGCAGTGATACGGTTTCTCTCCAGAGTGAGTGGTCAGGTGTTGTGTCAGGTTGCCTGGGGTGGCAAAGCAATGTCCACACACAGTGCACTTGAAAGGTCTCTCTCCTGTGTGAACCGCTGTGTGTCTGGTCAGTTCTTCCTTGCGCTTGAAGCTTTTCGGACACACTTTGCAACCATGTGGTTTCTCACCTTGGTGAGTCCACATGTGCGTTTCCAGTTGTTCCTTCTGGTCGAAGTCTTGCCCACAGTCCTTACACCGATATGATTTCTCCCCTGTGTGGAACTTCATATGTGCTCTCAAGTATCCATTACAAGTGAAACTTTCTCCACATTCTTTGCACTGAAATGGTTTCTCCCCCGTATGAAGTCTCATGTGCAATTTCATATATGCCTTGGTTTTGAAGCTTTTCCCACATTCTTTACATTGATAATGTTTCTCCCCTGTGTGAGACACCATGTGTGTTCTCAGATTAGCATCACTAGGGAAACATTTGCCACAAACATTACAAGTGCGTGTTGCTTTAATGTGGGATTGGAGGTGCTCTGTCAGACTTGCTATGGACTCAAAGACTTCTTCGCAAACACCACACATTTTCGTATGCTTTGTGTGCACATTTTTCACATGGTTAACTAAAGGACCAATGTACACAAACGTACTCCCACACAACTTGCAACAATAAGGAGAAGCATTTGTGGTCACCTTGCCTCTAGCACGGTTATGGGTGCTTGCCCATTTTCTGGGTGATTTCAGTGGCTTTGATCCTGACGGTAGTCCCCCGCTCTCCACCTCATTGCCACTTCCACTGTTTTCACTCTGAGCTGCAGAACAGCCTGGATATCCTTCTGAGAGGGACTGAGAGGCACTGGTTGCTTCTGATACCGTGTAGTCCTCTCCATCAGGCTCAGTTTTGATCTCTTCAGGAATGCGGATGCATAACACATCTCCCTGTCCGCTCTCGGAAGTTTGGCTTGAGAAATCCATTGGATCACAGTCACTTTCCTCACAGATGGTGAATATGGAGTCTTTGGTATCTGACTCCAGTCCTCCAAGCTGGTCTTCCTCCTGTCTGGTCCCAAGTTCCTGTTGTTTATCATTAATCAGTGTGGGCTGTGGTTCCTCACTTGTGTGGAACTTCATATGTGTTTTCAAGTATCCCTTACAAGTGAAACTTTCGCCACAATCTTTGCACCAAAATGGTGTCTCCCCCGTGTGACGCCTCATATGCAAGTGCATATATCCCTTATTTTTGAAGCATTTTCCACATTCTTTACATTGATACTGTTTCTCTCCTGTGTGAGTTACCATGTGTGTCCTCATACTAGAATCACTAGGGAAACATTTGCCACAAACATTACAAGTGCGTGTTGCTTTAATGTGGGTTTGCAGGTGCTCTGTCAGACTTGCTATGGATTCAAAGACTTCTTCGCACACACCACAACGGTATTCTGCAGTAAGCTTTGTGTGCACATTTTTCACATGGTTAACTAAAGGACCAATGTACACAAACGTACTTCCACACAACTTGCAACAATAAGGAGGAGAAGCGTTTGTGGTCACCCTGCCTCCAGCAGAGGTATGGGAGCTTAGTCTTTTCTTTGCCTGTTTTCTGAGTGATTTCAGTGGCTTTGATCCTGACGGTAGTCCCCCGCTCTCCACCTCATTGCCACTTCCACTGTTTTCACTCTGAGCTGCAGAACAGCCTGGATATCCTTCTGAGAGGGACTGAGAGGCACTGGTTGCTTCTGATACCATGTAGTCCTCTCCATCAGGCTCAGTTTTGATCTCTTCAGGAATGCGGATGCATAACACATCTCCCTGTCCGCTCTCGGAAGTTTGGCTTGAGAAAACCATTGGAGGAGGTGGGTAAGGTGGGTTAGTGTCTCGTTCCTCACAGACAGTGTTTATGGAGTCGTTGGTATCAGACTCCAGCCCTTCAAGCTGCTCTGCCTCCTGATTGGTCCCGATTTCCTCTTGTTCATCTTTAATCTGTGTAGGCTCTGGGTCCTGCTCCAGAGTGGGGCTCCACTCCTGCTCACAGTGCTGCCGCTCAGGGGGAACCTCCTCTGCAGAGACCGTGAGCTGCTGGGGGTCTAGAAAAAAAGGAGGGAAAGGGGTAAATAAGTGATCAATACATATTTGAACGTTTTTTATGTAAATAACATATGCCTATCCAGTGTTGTTGGTACTCGATTCCAGGACTCGGACTTGATTCGGACTCCATGCTCGACCGGTGACTTTGTTGTCAGAATGTCTCTCTCCCTTACATTATTCAACATGATAGCTATGAAATACCACAGTGTGCATCACAGCAGCAATATTTGTTGACCTGTTGGCACAAGAAAAGGGCAACCAGTGAACAAACACCATTTTAAATACAGCGAGGGAAAGAAGTATTTGATCTCCTGGTGATTTTGTACGTTTGCCCACTGACAAAGACATGGTCAGTCTATATTTTTAATGGTAGGTTTATTTGAACAGTGAGAGACAGAATAACAACAAACAAAAAATCCAGAAAAATGCATGTCAAAAATGTTATGAATTGATTTGCATTTTAATGAGGGAAATAAGTATTTGACCCCTCTGCAAAACATGACTTAGTACTTGGTGGAAAAACCCTTGTTGGCAATCACAGAGGTCAGACGTTTCTTGTAGTTGGCCACCAGGTTTGCACACATCTCAGGAGGGATTTTGTACCACTCCTCTTTGCAGATCTTCTCCAAGTCATTAAGGTTTCGAGCCTGACGTTTGGCAACTCGAACCTTCAGCTCCCTCCACAGATTTTCTATGGATTAAGGTCTGGAGACTGGCTAGGCCACTCCAGGACCTTAATGTGCTTCTTCTTGAGCCACTCCTTTGTTGCATTGGCCGTGTGTTTTGGGTCATTGTCATGCTGGAATACCCATCCATGACCCATTTTCAATGCCCTGGCTGAGGAAAGGAGGTTCTCACCCAAGATTTGACGGTACATGGCCCCGTCCATCGTCCCTTTGATGCGGTGAAATTGTCCTGTCCCCTTAGCAGAAAAACACCCCCAAAGCATAATGTTTCCACCTCCATGTTTGACGGTGGGGATGGTGTTCTTGGGGTCATAGGCAGCATTCCTCCTCCTCCAAACACGGCGAGTTGAGTTGATGCCAAAGAGCTCGATTTTGGTCTCATCTGACCACAACACTTTCACCCAGTTCTCCTCTGAATCATTCAGATGTTCATTGGCAAACTTCAGATGGGCCTGTATATGTGCTTTCTTGAGCAGGGGGACCTTGCGGGCGCTGCAGGATTTCAGTCCTTCACGGCGTAGTGTGTTACCAATTGTTTTCTTGGTGTCTATGGTCCTAGCTGCCTTGAGATCATTGACAAGATCCTCCCGTGTAGTTCTGGGCTGATTCCTCACCGTTCTCATGATCATTGCAACTCCACGAGGTGAGATCTTGCATGGAGCCCCAGGCCGAGGGAGATTGACAGTTATTTTGTGTTTCTTCCATTTGCGAATAATCGTACCAACTGTTGTCACCTTCTCACCAAGCTGCTTGGCGATGGTCTTGTAGCCCATTCCAGCCTTGTGTAGGTCTACAATCTTGTCCCTGACATCCTTGGAGAGCTCTTTGGTCTTGGCCATGGTGGAGAGTTTGGAATCTGATTGATTGATTGCTTCTGTGGACAGGTGTCTTTTATACAGGTAACAAGCTGAGATTAGGAGCACTCCCTTTAAGAGTGTGCTCCTAATCTCAGCTCGTTACCTGTATAAAAGACACCTGGGAGCCAGAAATCTTTCTGATTCAGAGGGGGTCAAATACTTATTTCCCTCATTAAAATGCAAATCAATTTATAACATTTTTGACATGCGTTTTTCTGGAGTTTTTGTTTGTTATTCTGTCTCTCACTGTTCAAATAAACCTACCATTAAAATTATAGACTGATCATTTCTTTGTCAGTGGGCAAACGTACAAAATCAGCAGGGGATCAAATACTTTTTTCCCTCACTGTACAACCTATATTTATTTATTCTCCTTTTGTATTTTAACTATTTGCACATCATTATAACACTGTATATAGACATATGACATTTGAAATGTCTTTATTCTTTTGGAACTTGTGTGAGTGTAATGTTTACTGTACATTTTCTATTTTACTTTTGTTTATTATTATCTATTTCACTTGCTTTGGCAATGTAAACATGTTTCAAATGCCAATAAAGCCCTTAAATTGAAGAGAGCGAGAGATTATCAAGTGCTTGTCAAATTGTGAATGAGAGACTGATTAAGTGTGTACAGCCTGCGCAAAAAACTAAGCAGAGCTCATGCCCATCATGCAACTTTTTTCAAATCATCATTAGTCGCATAATGCAGCCTTAGAATGTATTAAAAATCAAAACATATAGCCCAAAATGGATTAAATAAAACATGTCTCATTAATCTACACACAATACCCCATAATGACAAAGCGAAAACAGTTTTTTTGAAATGTTTGCTAATTTATAAAAATAAAATAAAAAAATACCTTATTTACATAATTATTCAGACCCTTTGCTATAAGACTCGAAATTGAGCTCAGGTGCATCCTGTTTCCATTGATCATCCTTGATGTTTCTACAACTTGATTGGAGTCCACCTGTGGTACACACCTGTCTATATAAGCTCTCACAGTTGACAGTGCATATCAGAGAAAAAACCAAGCCATGAGGTCGAAGAAATTGTACGTAGAGCTCCGAGACAGGATTGTGTTGAGGCACAGATCTGGGGAAGGGTACCAAAACATTTCTGCGGCATTGCAGGTCCCCAAAATAACAGTGGCCTCCAAAATTCTTAAATGGAATAAGTTAGGAACCACCGAGACTCTTCCCAGAGCTGGCTGCCCGGCCAAACTGAGCAATCGGGGGAGAAGGGCCTTGGTCAGGGAGGTGACCAAGAACCTGATGGTAACTCTGACAGAGCTCCAGATTGAAGCATGGTGGTGGCAGCATCATGCTGTAGGGATGTCTTTCAGCAGCAGGGACTGGGAGACTAGTCAGGATCGAGGGAAAGATGAACTGAGCAAAGTACAGAGTGATCCTTGATGAAAACCTGCTCCAGAGCACTCAGGACCTCAGACTGGGGTGAAGGTTCACCTTCCAAAAGGACAACGACCCTATGTACACAGCCAAGACATCGCAGGAGTGGCTTCGGGACAAGTCTCTGAATGTTCTTGAGTGGCCCAGCCAGAGCCCGGACTTGAACCCGATCGAACATCCCTGTAGAGACCTGAAAATAGCTGTGCAGCAACACTCCCCGTCCAACCTGAAAGAGCTTGAGAGGATCAGCAGAGAATGGGAGAAACTCCCCAAATACAGGTGTGCCAAGCTTGTAGCATCATACCCATGAAGACTCGAGGCTGTAATCGCTGCCAAAGGTGCTTCAACAAAGTACTGAGTAAAGGGTCTGAATACTTATGTAAATGTGATATTTCATTTGTTCGTTTTTTTGCAAAAAAAATCTAAAAACCTGTTTTTGCTTTGTCATTATGGGGTATTGTGTGTAGATTGGTGAGGGGGGAAAAAAACAATTCAATCCATTTTCGAATAAGGCTGTAACGTAACAAAATGTGGAAAAAGTCAACTGGTCTAATACTTTCTGAATGCACTGTAGGAGTACCTGTTTTTTTGTTAACCGTTCAACACAGAACAGCCGCATGTGCACACTCCCTCAAATCGTGTGGAGAAAATATCATTTCTATTTTATTCAGCTATGTTCAATTGTATTCTTCATACTATAAAATAATATAAAATAATGCTACGGAATTCTAAGCAAATCTTGTCTGCTAAATGAACTAGTGTAGCTCACAGCCATATGGCATAGCCAGATCAGGACCTAACATAAGGACAACTCTGAGTATGCTATTCTGTTCTAATGAAATAGACTACATTTTCTTCAAATCATATTTCTTTAGACCTGTCTAAAATAAATAATGGATTTATTGTGAAGGTGTAGGCTATATTACATGGACTTATTTGACTTTTTAAAATGTAGATGTTCCAAAGGTCAGCATCAGTGGCTTTTAGGCTATGCTTGGAAGACAGGAGATGCTAAATGTGTTTATGTTAATTAACGGCAGTTATTTGCGTGACAATCATCAGCTGACAAAATGTCATGACAGCCACAACCCTAGTCTTAATTAAAGGGGCAGTGTTGTATTTTGAGACAGGCTTGAATATGCAAATAAGCCAATAGGCAGAAGGGTAGCCTACACTGTCTAATTCTCTGTATGGTAATAATAATTAATTTTATTTTGTAAAGTAGTTTCTTGCATCATACAACACAATGCAATTTACAGTCACCTATTTGGCCCATTGTGTTACAGACCAAGTAAAACAATTGTTAATTAAATGTCAAGCCCTTTATAATGTAAAAACGTCTTTAAAAGTCTAATGCAGTGTAGGCCTGTATTGAACACCACATAGGCTACAGTAGGCTATATCATAGAAATCAAAAGCTATTTCCATGTGAAAATGTTATGGTAGTTTTTGGTAGGCCTACATTACGCTCAAATAGCCACAATAGCCTATTGGCAACTTTTTAAAACTGTAAGGGTACAGACTCAGTGTTCACTGTAAAGGCTCTCCGCAAGTTGCACAAAATTCTCACAATGTTCAAGTTTCCGCTCACAAGACCTAAAATTAGCTCAGTGCCCCCCCCAAAATTGGAGGGAACATTGCTTGTAAGACTTTTTCTGGCAGATGTTTTCTAAGATCCCTTTTCCATCTGTTTATCCAGAAATCAAAGCATTTACTTATGCCTAATTTCACACGTTGGTGCTCGTGGTTCCTTTTTGATGGAAATGCC